AATTTGTCTATAAGGGCCACAGGCTCTACCAAAAAGATAGGTGCCCATTGGATTCTCCTTCGGGACATTATCAATGTATCATGTATACAGTCAGCAGATAACCAGTTTTGGTATAAATCAAACCAAACCTTTACTAAAATAAAACATTGTAATGTTTCAATCAAAGATATATTTGACAATTCCTTTACGGACCCCATGTGTTCAATTTCCAAGTGTTCTACTAGAAATTGTAAAAGTTGTGATATTTTGATAAAAAGTACTTCATTTAATAGCAACCTCACTGGTCAAATTTTTTTATACTAAAACGGGTGGAAATCCGACATGTAAAACTTCAAACGTTAGTTATGGAACTGAAAGTACTCCATGCGGAGTGATTTTTATTGGGGAAAAAAGGATTTACTCAACAAGAGAATGTTGGGGCATACCAGTAGCTTTGAAATAAATAATGGAGGCAATAAACGTCTTCATAAATATTTCAATTCGCCTGACCATCCTTCAATGAGGAAAAGAATTTTTGAAAAAATATATCCAACTAATAGTCCCAGTTTAAGTACTCTATTCCACAGACAATGAGAAGAATACTGGATCAGAAAACTAGGCACGGCCTTTCCCTATGGTTGCAACGAACACATAAAAAGTGTAGGGAATCTTTCAAGCCCATAAAGTACCAGTATGAATGTGATGGGACTTTTCAACAATACACATAGACGTAGATGTAGTCATGGACATCGATCATACAATAGACCAAATAAATAGACAAATAGACAATAGACCAAATATACATGATGCCCTTTTTGATTCACTTTTACCTTACGTGAACAAACAATTACGTCTTATCAACATTCGCACTAATTTTTACTCGGTTCCCTTGAAAATTTTGAATGAACTGTTTGAAGAAGCTAAAGTAAGTCCATACTTGGATTCTTCAACTGCTGAATACAAGCTAGCTGATATAGATGTTGCTCAGACAGCACAGGCTCTTTAAGCCGCCGTGTGTGTCGGAAGATAATTATTCTGATTCTACCCGTAGGTTCTCTAGATGAAGTGAACATAAGAACATTCTTAATTATAGAAAAGTTCAGTCCTGCATTCCATCATATTTCAAGTTGAAGTCTACACCTTCCCAAAGTGTTGCTTCCAAACTAAGCCTTTTCAATTATAAATGAACCTTACAGTGCCTAGATATTGAACATTTAACAGAAAAACTTAGAAAGTTTAAAAGTAATATGTGAACTATCTATCCTTAAACGCTTTTACTAAATCGAAGGTGATAAAAGAATTAGCAAGACTAGATGAACAGTATGTTATGGTTTCAGCAGACAAGGCGAGTAACAATATCGTCTGTAAGACTCATTTTTAAAAGAACTTCGTTTTAATTCTATTTCTGAAATTCCGACTCATACTCACAGTTCACTTTCTAAGGAATACTTTTAACATTCCAGTTAACGCAGGTGAGTTCGATCTACCTTTCCTGTACTGGACTCCTACACTTAAAAGAAATCCTTACAAACAAAGATACATTGCCAGGTCAGGCAAATGCTAGATACCAAGCCCCTATCGTAACTCTTCATAAAAATATGAACTGCTATATAGGATAAACTTCAGATGTACTGTGTTATAGCATATTCGAGAAGTGGTGCAAATCAAAAGTGGGTTCTCAGAGACTCCAAAGTACATCAAGAAGATTTAAAATCACCAAAGAACTATATGCAATAAAAACACAATTTCCCCCATCAAAGCCAAATTATGAAAATCTCTACAAATATACACTAGTACTATTTTATATATTGTATAAAAATCTTAACATTTTTAATTACCCCCCCCCCCCTTAGGCCATAATTATAGATTTCTACAAAGTTGCATTTTGGGGGCACTTATTGGTCATTACAGAATATAGTCCTTTTTCAAAAGTTAGTAACATCAAAATGTACGACTTTTCTACACTTTATACAACCATTTCCTCATGAAAAATTTAAAATTAGGCTTTTTCATAACAAAGACAACTGCTTTTTCATTAAAAATGGAACTCAAAAATATCCATATCTTGTGGCTGATCATCAACAAAATTACCTTGCAGAATCACTCTGTTTCAACACACAAGTACTCTGAAGATGATATTAAAATGATGCCGAGTTCCTCGTTGACAACAATTTAAAACATCTATGTAGTCTTTGGAGATCTGGCCCCGGGATCATCTTAAGCTTAAGTCCAAATCTTTATGATGTTCTAATATATTGTAGAAGTGAAGCAGACCAAAATTAAAATATTTCTTAATTTAACTTCACTAAAGTGTTGTTCTCTGCAAATTTAGCGATTAATTCAATAATTAATAAACATTTTACAGACTATTGAAAACTTGACTTAAGTCTAAGTCTGTTTTGTGATCCTGGGGACAGGTTTTCCAATAAACTGCTGAAATTCATATGGACACTAATTGTGCTCCTTTATTAGCCAACCTTTTCATATTCATATAAAGCAGAATTTACTATGATAAAAAAAGCTGTGGCTTCAACTCCACTTCCAAATAAATCCATGACATTTAATCAATTAACAAATCACTTCCATTCATATATACCTGTCACAGTAGCCTAGTGGTAGGGCACTCGCTTCGTGATCAGGAGGCCCGGATTCGATTCTCATTCACCGTGTCGTGTCAAACCTAATAAGTAAATATAGGTAGGGACTGTTGCTTTGGCAAGCGCCCGGCACTAGAAGTGAAAGTCACGGGTCTTTTGGATGAGACCTTAAAAACCAAGGTCCAGTGTCACGGTAGGCATTGGCACAATAAAGAACCCTCACTGCCCAATGGCCCTGAGTGCCGAGTACAGGTCTAAATTTGAAGCCCTTCACCGGCATACGGTGACGTCTCTGTATGAGTGAAAAATTCTCGATTGGGACATTAAACAACATACAATCAATCAATCCATTCATATGTCAACTCCATATACTGTGGAATCGTCAACGTCTGTGGGGGATTGACCAATGTTCCTGGATTTTGTGGGTCACCCTTATCCACGAATTTAACCCTTATCCACAAATTTATATTTGTACAACAATTATTTTGTCAACCTATTTATTCATGGAATCTTCTGTATACACGAGATACCCACGAAAATACGTCCCCACAAACCAACAAATTTTTGCTTGCCCACGAACACTGAACCCCACAAATTAAAATGATCCCACACATATCACAGTGAACTCAAATTAAAGAAACCACAGAGTCTGCCACATTTACTTTATATTTGAATATTTTAGTGAAATTTTTTCTGTCTATAGATGATAAGGGCCAGATAACAATTAAACTGTATGAGAAATGAGATAACTTAAGCTTTTCCATCATCAACTTTTTTAATTTATGTAGTAATATTCTGCTATCACATGCATACGGCATCCCTACTTCTTTCATACTGAAGAGCTTGCTCTGAATACGATCAATTTTTAAGCAGAGGCAGGTTGCTGTCAGATAAGTTGAAGTTACAGGGATTTCAATAACCTTGTTTAAAGTCAGCATTTCATAAATTCTAAGGTTGTTATAATGACCTTGTTAACAAATATAACCTATAAACTGGGTCATTCCTTGACTGATATGTTTCATACCAACTGCTAGGCCTTTGTTTTCATACCAAATTTGACGTCTACCTGATCGATACATAGGGCTCATGGTGGGTGTGACTGGTCAGCAGGGGATTATTACTCCTCCTAGGCACCTGATCCCACCTTTAATATTTCCGTAGCCTGTGTTTTATGCCCTGTTCACAGCCTTGTATTGTTTGTAGTTTTTTTTGTTTTTTTTCTTTTGAGATTACTTTTTGTTATCCCCACCTTTTTCATTGTGAAACATATAAAAAAAATCTTTGAAAAAGAAATGTCTCTATTTGGTTGAATGTTATCATTAATAAGAATAAGACTTGATTTTCATGGTTACTAAATTGTTAAAGTTGTAACTATAGTAAGATTTTAAATTTGTCAAACATATGAATTTTTCAAAACATGAGTCACAAGATACATTGCAATGGTAAACATTCAACCATATCATCCTTGATTTTCTGAAATTATTTAGTGGAAAAAAAAAAAACTTGTATGCTATACAAAGTTTGCAAGAAATCTGTCATCAGTCTTGAAATATCCATACAGATATAACCCTTATAAAGAGTGGCTGTTAACAATCAAACATTCTAAACATACTAATGTGTATTTCATTTTAAAAAAAATATTTTGATGGTCTAAAAAATACTCTTCATTTCTCTTAAACACATGCATAAGGAGATGAGTGTTGCTAATAATAATTTTGTATTGAATTTCATTCCTCCATCACTGGATGGCATCTTTGAGCAATTACAGAGAATATCTATAATATTCAGAATTGAAGCTATAATATCCTTGAATAAAATATTCTCCAATAGGTAGTTACAATCAATCAGTAGCTGATTTTGTTCCAAAAATAAATTTATTTTTCGTATTTGCATTCCTCATTCATTTTCATCGGAATTCCCCACCATGAATAAAAATAGTCCAAAAAAATTTGGTATATTATTTCTTGACCCTAAAGTGAGCCTCAAACTGCATCATTCTAAAGAGTATAATATTGTGCTCAATTTTTCATTTTATGGCAATACAAATGACATTGAGTAGGGTTATAATATTATTTTTTTTTTTAATTTATTTATTGTGTTTGTAAAATTTAGTTATAATCATGACTTCTTGTTTGCACTTTTTCTGCCTTGAAATTTCAATTTAAAAATAGTTGCTTTAAAAATTCCGCATTCAGGGTTTTCTGAAAAATTCAATATTTTGCAGCAATATTTTGAACCCTTGATGAATACATTGTTCTTTTTTAAACTGTAATTTCTTTTTATTTTTTGCTTGCTTTCGTATAAAATTAAAATTGAAACTTAATGAGCAAATTCATGGAATTTAGATGGAGTTCGGCTGAAGTTGAAAAATGATGTACATGTAATATAATGCTTTTTTACTTGCTAATTGAATTTTTAAATTACCTGATTTAAATTTTTTTCTGAGATCCCTGTGAACAGATTTTACAAAATCTGCTAGTTTCTTCTTTTCTTCTGTATCTTCACTCATGGCTTCATCTATCGTATAATTTGAAAATTAAGTTTATAGTAAAACTACCATAGAAATGTCTAACACAACTAAAACAGGTATATTCTGGCTAAATTTTACCATACAATTAATTTACTTCAGTGAGTTATAAAATGAATAAATATTACTCCACATGAAAGTCTTTGCTTCTTCTAAGATTAGCTTGTAATAGTTTTGTAAATTTGGAGTTATGTCATCTTTTGAATTAGTAAAATTTGACTAATTAATGCTCCTATTTGACATGCCATAATAAACTTGGTTGCAAATAAATTGGGGACACAATTTCCATTATTTTTATCTCTGCAAAAGAGGACATATGAGGAGACAAGATATTTAATTTTATATCTGCATGGAGCCTCATCAATCCAGGATCCAATAATCAAGACACTTAACCTTCCAGAAGAATATTTACAATATTTTATTATATCTACAGTGTTTGAAATAACTATGTGCAAATGCACAAGATGCATAAATTTTGCTGTGGGTGAACAAATCTGCTTGTATCTGCATTCGACTGGACGTGTTAAAATTGCCACTAATTAAAAATTTACATTGATAAATATGTCCTAAATGGACCGATTGTTCTGGTAGTGAAGTGTAACAAGCCAAATGGCAGAACAGTTATGCTGAACAAGTCCTAGTCACACAATCGCTTTAATAAATAATAGGAGTCCTCTTTTGAACAGTCAACTTAATTTTAAGGTTTGCCACTTGCCAACTGCAAGGCTGCTAATGAAACTACTCATGTAAAAAAATAATTTTTGAAAAAATGAAATTATTATCTCAGGCTAGTAGATCTTTGGCAGGGCTAACAAATTTTATAAACAATCAGCCCTGCATGTCTAGCTAATTTTATGGTGAGTTTCAAACACTAATATCTACCAATTATAAAAGGTCTGTTTGAATTATCTGGACACTTCATTAATCTGGACAATTTGCTTGTGAACACAAGTGTTGGAATTATCAGGATTGCTTGGAAATACAAGTGTTGGGATTAACTGGGATTGCTTGGGAACACAAGTGTTGATATTACTGGGATTGCTTGGGAACACAAGTGTAAGGATTACCTCAATTGCTTGGGAACACAAGTTTTAGGATTACCTCAGAGTCGATTGCTTGGGAACACAAGTGTTGGGATTACTGGGATTATTTGGGAATACAAGTGTTGGGATTACCAGGATTGCTTGGGAACACAAGTGTTGGGATTACTGGGACTGCTTGGGAATACAAGTGTTGAGATTACTGGGATTGCTTGGGAACACAAGTGTAAGGATTACCTTGATTGCTTGGGAACACATGTGTTAGGATTACCACGATTACCTCAATACATATACTGAAATTTTTATGAAAATGGATTTACCACTTATCTAACAGTGAAGACAATTCCATCTCAAACAATCCCAAAGAAATGAACAGTTTGTCAACAATTTTTTTACTACAATGTGATAACGAATAATTATGAGATTTTAATTGGAGGGAAGTCATACACTTGGTCAATTATGAAAGAATATTATGTACAACTATATACAACTAAACATAAGCCAGAGCAACAGAGGTTCAAATGAAATGTTCAAAAAATATCTTAAGTGATTCATGTTAATACATAAAGAGTGCCATGTTACAGTGTTAGATCGGACAATAACATTTGGGACGCTTATTTGGGGCGCTCGTGATTTAAACATGGGGCATTCTGGTTCTGCGGCGAAACGACAGTAACCCATTTAAAAGCTATGTACTAGTTACTTGATTATGATGACTTGAGATAGTATGTACGCGGAACAGTTCTACACTCAGGCCCGTAGGAAACAATTTCAGTTGGGGGGGGGGGGGGGGGGGGGCACAGCCATACATTTTTCAGTTGACAGTTGAGTGGGCACTACCAAAATTTTCCTGACAAGCAAAAAAAAAAAAAAAAAAAAATAAAAGGACGTTTTTTATTGAGTTGAGGGGGCACAAGCATATAGTATCTATGTTTACTATAGTAATCTATATATCAGCAAAATTATCGGGGGGCACGTCCCCCCCCCCCGTGTCCCCCGGGTTCCTACGGCCATGTTATACACAACAAAAAACTCACACAAATTGCTCAACTTCTGTCCTCAATTAAAATACTTACCTTATAAATATGTTTTTATAGCATGTTCGTTTGTTTTGTTTTGTTTATCATTTTTCACAAATAATATAGAGGACTCCTACTAGCAATGTCGAAGAACAAAATCATTTCTTTCATTTGAGAACTACTCGTATACCATGTTTAACACCATTTTTTCTGCTTAACAGAAACTTTTAGGATTGTTTGTCGACAACGTTGCCTTGAATTAAGTGAAAATGAAAGTAAGTGTGTTGTGTATTGGAAAAATATACGACGACAACTTGCAGAATTCCGGAAATTAGAGACGTGAAATTAAAATAAATATTTTTGCCCATTCTATTTTTTCCAGTATGTATATATATATATATATATGAAGAGATAATGAATGAATATGTTGATTAGTGAATTATTATTATATGTGCGCAAAAATGCAAACTATATTTTTATTTAAAAAACGTGCTTTATTTCTAATTTTTTAATAAGACCATGTGGTTTGCAAAGTTTCTTTCACGTATTTTTATACACTGTTATACCGTATTCATTATTGGCAATTTTTCCACCAACATTTAATGTTTTTCATCTTTTGATAACGCTTCACAAAACTTCGCCTCATCCGTCTGCCTTTGTTTGTTTTTTCACTGTTTACCCAGCAGGTGCTGTGACGTCACCTGGATCGAACCGTGTTGCTACTTTAAATAACAAAGTGTCTTTGCGCGGAAAAATGGATTAAGAATAATAAAGTATATCAATTTTGACTTGAGTTTAATTACAAAAGGAAAGACTATTCACTTAGTTTTTTTTAGAATCATACAATCAGATTTATCATTCTGACACACAGTAGATAACTAGCTTCCGTTAGACAGATGTTCACGCGTATGAATATGTTTTTATTTACGATTGTGATTAGCCCCGGCAAAAAAGTGTGCTGTTTGCATGCATGATAATTTCAACAGCATTATCTGTGGTGAATAAAGAACTTTACAATTTTTTGGAGGTAAGGTTATGTTTTTGTTGCAATTATGAAAATAATTGGACATTTTATTTTAGTTGTTAATTTTTCTAAAAGTGTGGCATTCATAAAACGAGTCGTGACCTCATAGTACCAATATGTTGGTCAGTAAATGTAAACATAGCGCACATGTGTTCCCTCGCGCTCACATGCAACATCCAGGCGCCCAGGCAGGTGCGCTTCCGGAGGGACGGGGCTCAGAGCGCCAAAGACTGATTTCAAGGAAAATATATTTCAGTGCATTTTCTGTTAATTTGATTATACTTATGAATGAGAAAAAATGATGATGTAGGCTTTTCATCACACGATAATCGATTAACGCAATGAATATTTCATGTGTTTATGGCGGAGACTGCAACAAACAAACAACTGTCGATTATTTAATTACACAGGAACTTAGCAACAGAATTATTGTATTAAATCACTACAACATTTCGTATAATATATTGATCTTAACAAATATTATATTTACAACTAAATTGTAAAAGGTGTATATCTAACATTCGTGCATTGATTTGCACGTTTCTGTGCAGTAGTTTTGGATTAAAGGATATGACATGCCAGAATGTTGAAATATTATTAACAGAGTTTTCTTCCTTATTTAGTAATATTTACAAGTAGTGATGAAAACAAACAGCAAACTGCCTGCACTCAACATTTCATTGAAATGAATAAATCTATTTTAAATTATTGATGATAATAATGCTCATCATTGAAGCAATTTTTTTTTTTTATCTATCATCTTGGAGCTTATTGGTTGCAAATTTAATTTCACTTTTATAGACAATAAATAACATTTACTGTTGTTATTTTAAGAATTTTGCAAGCAAGATTTGGGATTATTCATATGTGCTGATTCTATCTATCTATCTATCTATCTATCTATCCATATATATATATATATATTTCAGTGTAATTAAAGTGTTCATAGATTAGAGATTGAACCATTTCTCCTTTTAAAAAAGATATAAATTTATATTTTTACTTTATGAAGTACAGCTATAGGAAGATGATTCCAAGTTATCTTAATACACGTGAAAATTTCATTAACACTGATTTTACAACTTATTTTCAGTAGGGCTTGGATGATATATCGAAATATCCATAAAAATATCATATTCTATGTGATGATAAAATGTGTATCAATATCATTATGTGTGTCGAAATATCGATATGGAAAAAATAGATCAGACTATTTTTTCTGTTTTACTTACGGCTTTTTGTTTGAAATCATTTTAATGTATAATTAAAATTTTAAATATAAAAAGAAATATGAAATACATATAATAATTAATTTACATCACTTATGTGAACTAATTTTGTTTTACAACAGATATACAGAATCTATAAAAAATATTCTTATTGGTGAAGATATATATCAGTAAGTTTCATATTGATACAGCTGGCGAATAAACAGCATCAAAACGCTGCTCGCCAACTGGAAAATTTGTCTCAAACCATGTAAAAGTATGTATCAGTACTAATCTCTGGCAGAATATGTTCTTGCATTTTGATTGGCTAAAAATCTGTTTCTAAAATTACATCTGAAAAATATCGTATGGAAAATAAAACAAATTTGATTTATTCACGGCAATACAGTCAAATTTCGTTATTTCGAACTCAGTGGGACAGAGAAAAAACTTTGAGACATCTGAGGATTTGAGATATCCAGGGTAAAATACTTAAAGAATAACAAATAAGTAGTTGGGACTTCGAAATCACTTTGACATATCCATGATATTCGAGATATCTGTGTTAGAGATACCGAAGTTCAACTGTATTTAAAAATTGAAATTGAATTTTTAAACCCACTAACTTTTAGCTCACCTGAACTGAAGGCTCAAGTGGGCTTTTCTGATCAAAATTTGTCCATTGTCTGTTGTTGTTGTCATCGGCATTGTAATTTTTTTTTTTTTTACAATTTCATCTTCTCCTGAACCACTGGTCCAATTTCAACCAATCTTGGCACACAGTATCCTTGGGTAAAGGGGATTCAAGTTTATTCAAATGATTGGCCACACCCTCTTCCAAGGGGAGATAATGAAGAAAAATTAAATATTGGGAGGGGTCATTTAAAAATACTCTTCTCAAGATCCACTAGATCAGTAAAGATGAAATTATGTGAAAGCTTCCTGACATAGAGTAGATTCAAATTTGTTCAAATCATGACCCCTGGGTTTAGGGTTGGGCCACAGAATTTAACATAGGTATAAATAGGAAAAAATTTTTGTAAATATTTTTCTCAAGAACAGCAAAGCCATGATCAGTCATATTCATATGAAAGCATCCATAGGTAGTGTAGATTCAAGTTTGTTAAACTCATAGGGTAGGGTGTGCCACTATGTTAATCAAAGTTTATACATGGGTATAAATAGAAAAAATCTGTAAAAGTTTTCTTCTCAAGAATAGGAAAACCATGATAAATCATATTTATATGGAAGCATCATCAGGTTGTGTACATTCAAGTTTATTCAAATCATGACCCCTGGAGTAGGTTGGAGCCACAATGGGCAGTTAAAGTTTTAAATAGGAATACATAGGAAAAAATTTTTAAAATCTTTTTTATCTCAGGAATTGCAGTCATTTTTAGTCATATTTACAAAGAAGCATCCTCAGATAGTGTAGATTCAAGTTTGTTCAAATTATGACCCCAAAGGATAGGGTAGAGTTACAATTTGTGATCAAGTTTTACATGGCAACATATTGGGAAAAGAATCTGCTGATGAACAAGAAGGGCCATTAGTAACCCAGGTGAGCACTGTGGCCCATGAGCCTCTTGTTAATTTTGCTCTCTGCCATAGATTAGTACATACCACTTCATAGTGTGAGATGTAAGACTATATTATAATGCTCATAAAATTCTCTATATATAACAATTCTTAATTTGGATAACAGGTGGTGTCATATTTACAAAAAATAGAATATTAATTCAGAAAGGAATGGAGAAACCCCTCCTACAGTTTTGGTATAATCTGAATAAAATCTGGTACAAATGAAGAGACTAAATCAAGGTACATAAAATTCTTGAATGAATGATTTTCAAAATGCTCCTCCATCCTCCTACAGTTTTGTTCTGATTTGAATAATCCCAAATAGAAGTGTAGAAAACATCAGGTTAACCTATTTCTGCCCAATGATTTCCATGAACAATATGTTGTCATGATTAATAGATTAAGAAAAATCTTTAGAATTATTTCAAATTAGTGCTCCTCCTACAGATTTTAAATAAAATCTGAAGTACTGGTAAACTCTAGAGAAAATCAATTCTTTGTATTGGTTTGTGTTTTTCTGATATGGATACTGCAAATTCCAGTCTAAGAGTGTCTTTTATTGAATGAAAATAAAAGAAAGATGTGCACTGTTAAATAACTGACTGCAGGTGGGGTGGAAGCATTTTAATATCATGAACCCATCTTGATTGTAAAGAATTTTAAGGTATTAGAGTAAAACACACTTATAGCAAAGTGCCAGGATTACAGACAATTTTGCTTCGATCATTATAAACTTAATTTGTTTTATCTGTGAATTAGTTCATAATACTATTCAAAACCAAGGGGAGTAAGAAATCATTTTGCTATAAACGTAAATTCATTATAAGCATGTTCAATATGGGCAATTGTTTTACTGTAAATTATTAATAAGTAGTTGATTGATATGTGCATTTGTTGTTACTCTCAAACAAATTGAACAATCATTTTCTTCACTTTCATATAAATATTACCAGGTAACCTGAAGTGAATAAGCTTTAAATAATCTATTCATTATCAATATTCAACAGTACTTGAAAAGTTAATTAGAAACTTCATTGAACCTATTTGATTGAATGATGTAAATGAATGTTCCCATATCAAAAAATAATACATAAAAGTATATTTTTAATATATTTTTAATACAATCATTTTCATATTGTTTAAAATTAATACAGAAAAAATATATTATTTTTGTATCACCAACAAATAGGTAGATTATTTTTGTATTAAAATCTGACTTTGATTTTTTACGGGGTATTATTTCTGTATTTTTTGGGACTTAGATTATTTTCAGTATATCATTTTTGTATTTTTGTGGACTTAGTTTTTTTCAAGTGTATTTTTTCTGTATTAAAATTGAACTTAGTAATTTTACAGAAAATTACATACAGTTAATCTGTATTATTTTTGTATTAAAATTGAACTTAGTAATTT